CAAGCCGCCGCTACTGGGGCCCAGGCTGCACCCCCCTCTCCTGGCCCCCTACCCGGTCCCAGCCCCCATCCTGCCAGCACTCCTTACATCCCTGCTTTGGTCCTTGTCCCTCGTTCACACTTCTATTCCCTCCACTCTTCTTCAGCTCCCTCCTCCAGAGACCCCTCCCATTACCCTTCAGGTGGGACTCCGATGTTAGGACTTACCCTTGGGGCTGGAACTTCTTTGCTTTGAGATGCCCCCTTTTCAGCTTTTTGAGGAAAGGTTTTGGAAGAAAAGGCAAATTTAGCATGAGAAGTTTAGAACCAGTTATCCTCAAGCCCCATCCAGAAGATGGCAAGAGTTGGGGGAAAGGAGGGGTGCATAAGAAGGTAGCTGTCCCTCCCTCCACAGTTCCTCCTAAACTCATGCTTGTCAGGGTGGTAGAGGCCCTGACGGATGACCATGCAAGACTTTGAGTGCTAATGGCCTGGCCAGTGGGGGAGGGGTGCCCTTCTATTTGCCTCTGGGACCACGCTTTTGTGGGGCTCTAGCTGGGAGGGGTGTGCCCACTGTGGTGGTGGGGATCATAGGGAAGGGGTGAGTCAGGCAGCGGCGCCCCCCATACTCCCACCAGGCTGGTGGAGAACATCTGTTTCCCATGAAATGCTAGAAGGCTAATGGGTCTAATTGCTGCAGTAAGGGCTGGGGAGACTTTGGGGAAAAGAGGGGGGCACTAGATCCCCCCATTCTCTTTCCTTCTCCTCAAGGTCATACTAAGACTGTCTAGAATGGGGGTTAGAGTTCATGGGAAGGGTGGATCTGACCTCATCTGGCCCCTTATAAGGCCCCTCTCTCCCTTCAATGCCTGGGAAATACACAGATGGGGCGATGAGAAGTGGGGTGCATCTGGTGAAAAGAAAGGGGGGCTATTCAGGACTCATGACTTCCTGGAGCCCTCTCCCAACTTCTCCTGTGCCCCACTCCCCCCCCCACCCCCTCCCTGTGGCCTGGCCACTTCTGGTTCTAATTACCAACCAGGCAGGCCTGACTTAATTGGGACCTTTCAGATTTTGGAGGGGGAAGGGTGGGTGGGTGGAGACTGACAGCTTGGAGTTGACTAATCAGGGCTCTTTTCCCCTTGTTTTTGAGGTACTCCTCATTTTGCACTTAATATTTATTTACTTCATTTCATTTTTTGCCACTGGCCAGATTCTGATTCAGAAATTTCGGTGAGGGGATGGCTGGATTAGAAATGTGGTGTTGGGGTTGGGGGCAAGAACAGGGAGCTCGCACTGGATTGGAAAGAGCCCTGCATGCCTCTTCATCCCTGCTTCAATCCCTTCGGTCTGCCTTGCCACCTCGCGACACCCCCATCCGCAAGCCAGGCCCTCTTTCCCGGCCTCACACCTCTCAGTCCCTGGCAGCCACCGGGGCCTCTCCTGTTGGCCTGTCTTCCCTTCCCTCGCCTACTCTGGCACCCCTTCCTGCTATTTATTCTTACAAACTGGCACCCCATTCCTGCAGCCCCCCAGTACGCCACCACCCCCCACAAGAGATTCTTAGAAAAGTGGGCCCCGCCCAGGCCCAGCCACAGCCGCCAGGCGGGGAAGGGGTCGGCCGGGCGCCGCTCCCGCTTCCCCAGCGCTCCCCGTTTGAGCGGCGCTGACAGAGCCGGCTGGGCCGGCCCGCCGGCCGGCCAGGCAGGCCGCGGGCGGGGCGCGAAGGAGGGGGCGGTTTCCGGGAGTCGCCGCGGCTGGCGCTGTCCCCGGGCCAGGGTTCCCATTCGGCTCGGCCCGGCCCGGCGAGGGCAAACTCTTGACGTGGCCAAGTCCCCGCCTCCTCACCTTCTTCTCCGCCGGGCGAGGGCGCTCAGTGCCTGGCAGGGGCAACCGAGGAAACGAGAGGAGGCGGCCTTTGGAGATCTGAAGAGCACTGAGTGTGGCGCTGGGTGGGAGTTGGGGGGGGCGGTATTACCAATGGATATTTAATGGCTATGAGAATAGTTAATGACCAGGTTCACAGTTATGGCCAAGAGTGACACTTGGCACTTTGGGTCAGTTGGCACACTAGAAATTCTAGGAGAGGGGAATTGGTACTCAGGAGGGCAGCTTCGTCTGAGGCGCAGCTGGCTTTGTAGAAACAGAGTGGGGTGGTAATTTTGTGCTCTAAAAGTGAAGTTAGGCTCTGACAGGGTGGCTTAGTTGACTGAGCATCGTCCTGCAAAAGCGAAAGGTCACGGGTTCGATTCCCAGTCAGGGCACATGCCTGGGTTGCGGGCGCGTCCCCCAATGGGGTGTGTGTGAGAGGTAACCGATTGGTGTTTCTGTCTCATAGATTATGTTTCTTTCTCTCTTTCTCCTCCCCTTCCCCTCTAAAAATAAATAAATAAAATCTTAGCAAAAATAAAAGTGAAGTTAGGGTCGAGAAAGGGGCATTGAGAGAGGCAGTGGAAGCGCTTAAGGAGTGTCTGCCCCAGGATGGGGCTTCGGGGACTTGGAGGGAGGACAGCCTAGGCTAGGAGGTTTAGACTCCGGGATCCGCTGGAGGGTGTGTGGGGAGGGGGGGACTCTGCAGCGGCGCAAGAGACTGCCTGGGCGGGGTGGGGCGGGGCCGGGTCAGGAGGAGGTGAGCGCGCCCGGCCACCCGCCCCGAGGGGGGTTCCCGGAGAGTTCAAGGCGGGAGCGCGCTCCAGCCCTTCGACCGGGGGGCGGGGAGCACGGGAAGGAAGAAGGCCGAGCAAGCTGAGCCGCAGGAATGTTCTGTTGAGTCCTGAAGCGCGCGCGCGCGCGCGCAGTAGTGGGAGGAGCCATGCCTGGGAACCAGGGGGTGGAGGTAGTGCAGGTCCCCAGGCTCTGGTGAACAGCCAGGCGCTGGGAACCTCCGTGTTCGCCGCTTCCCAGTCATCCTTGACACCCCTGCCTGTATTTACTTGTGTAAAAAAGAGAGCGTTGGGGGAAGGGGGAAACTCGGAAGGAAATGCGTTTGCTTGGTTCCTCCACTCCTTCCCCCACCCCCGACCCGGGCACGCGCCTAAGTGCAAACGCCTGCAAATCTTCCCGGTGTGGAGAATGCTTGCAAGCATTCTTGCAAGCCAGGTGTGCTTGCTTGCACAAATGTGTGCGCATCTATGATTTTCTGTGCGTGCAGATATGAATGTGCACTATTGCATATTTGCAAATCGTGGTGCCTGCGAGGATAAATGCATGCATTGATATGTGTCTAAGCAAGCAAGCGCGCCGCGGTGCGAGTGTATATATGTGTATGTGTGCACTCCACTCCCAGCTCTGCTCTTCTTGGTGCCCGGCCCCTTTCGTTCTCCAAGCCCCACCCCCCCACCCCCCACCCCTCAGGCTTCGCTTTTACAAAAGGTCTCCCCAGTGCTAGCCGCTGGGACGCCCAGAGCGAGCCCGACCGCTGCTGGAGCGGCAGCCCCGGCTTTGCGCCCCGCCCAGTCCCTTTCCCCAGCTGGGGATCCCCTTCTTCCCCGCCCACCCCATACCCCCCATGCAGCCCGGCGCCCTATGCTAGCCCTCCCCCTCCCCCCCTCTAGGAGCGGGGCGCCGCTGGGGGAGGAGGGGGAATCGGCTGCGGGTTCTTGGTGTTCCTAGCACCCAGCTTCCCTCCAAGCCGGGTCTCGATGTACGACTGCATGGAAACGTTTGTCCCGGGTCCGCGACGGCTGTACGGGGCTGTCGGGCCCGGGGCCGGCTTGCTGCGCAGAGCTACCGGCAGCTCCTGTTTCACCGGACTTGAGTCTTTTGCTTGGCCGCAACCCGCCAGTCTGCAATGTAGGTACCCGAGTCCCGGGGTGGGGTGTGGGGTGCAGGAAAGGCGGCGGTTCACTCTTTCCATGTGTAAAAGGTGGAACTGAGGTGCAAGTGGAGATTCCGATTCTGTGCGAGGGGCGAGTGTGTAGGAAAGGGAGATACTGGCCCTTTAAACGTGGGGGCCTCAGCGATTCCTTTGGGTGAGTGCAGTAGTGATTTCAGTGTGCGGTTTTTATGGTGGGTGTTTAGCTAGGACATTTGGCTGATGCCACTCCAAAGTTTCTGGGGATAGAGAGAGACCGAAATGTGTTGGTAGTTTTGTGCCCGCAGGTCCGTGGCTCTGGAGGGATATGGCACCCAGGACCGTGGGTGGTGTTTGTAAAGTTCACGTGGGAAGTGGGAGTGTAAAAATATTATTCGCAGAGCGTATGGATTCCAAGAGTGTGCAGCGCTTTGGTTAGGTGGTGTGGGTGCGAGTGAATCTCTTCACGCAGTGTCACCCACCGACAGCGTTGGCAGGCCCGCATGGCCCTGCGTAGGGATGTTTGTGGCGTGAGGCCGGGAGGGCGTGTGCCCTTGCGTGGCTGCGGGGGCGGCTTTGGAAAGTGCTGTGTTCGAGCGTGCATCCTGTGTGTTCTCTGTGTAGGGTGGAAGTGGTGGTGCACACAGCCCGGCCAAGGCTGGGTTCTGGCGCTCCCCGCTCCTTTTTATAAAGAAATGTTTGGAAATGTGTATAGGGTTGTAGGCAGAGAAATGACTGTTCCCTTTGGCTCCAACACACACAACTTCAGTAGGAAGTTAAAAGTTTAGAGCAAATTCTGTGTATAGGGTGGGGGTGACCTGGAGGTGGCAAAGGCCAGGGTGCGGGGCAGCAGGGGGTGGGTGTAGTACTACTACCGGGTCCCCAAATACCCATCTTCCTTCTCTGTGAAATGGGAGATGCCAGGCCTGGGGCCCTGGAACCCCTTTCCAGAGCGGTAATAAAAAGCTGGGGACTGAGAGGCAGTAAAAATGAAGTCCAGATGAGAGGCGGCTTTGAAGCCCGGGCCCAAGTGCCTGGCGGGGGTGGGGTGTGGGGAGGAGCCGGGAGGGGAGCCTGGAACCCTCCTTCCCCCAAATTTACCGGCAACTGGGACGGCGCTCGTAGCCGGGTGCGGACGCTGGCGGGGGCGGGGGGGGGGGGGTTATGAGAATTTTGGGGCAAGCTAGGAACGGGCGGGCGGCGGGCGCTGGGGGAGTGAGCCCGCGGGGTCACGGAGCCCCCGCCAACGCACCTCGCTCCTTGGCACTCTACAGCGCTGTTTACGAGTTCGGCTTTTTTTTTTTTTTTCTTTTGGTTCCAGGGCAGAACTGCTCAGATTTAACAACCAGGAGACTGGAAGAGGGAGGTGGCAAACAGGAGACCATACTTTGGGGTGGGGAGGGATGAGAGTTAAAAGTGTGGCATTTGAAGGGTGGAGAAAGCATGGAACTACTGTTTTGCACCAAATCCTTGTGAATTCTTAACCTTCCTCTCATTGCCCAATAGGATGCCGATTTGGGGTATGCTGGGAGGGGTGTTGAGATGGAGTAAATCTCCCAGGAAGGATTTTGTGGGGGCTGGGCAGGGACCCCAGTTTTTTTCAGGCTCAGGGAGGCCCTTTGCACTTTGCTGGCAGTATGTTTTTGCATTTCAGTTTGGATCAATAATTTTGGTCTCTAGGATCTGGGTGGGCTTCATGCCTGCTCCACACACTTCATGAAAGTCGTTTAGACCTGGGTGTCTAAACCAGGGAAGGAAAGAGGTGCTCTGAGGGGAGGGCCGCATGGTATGTTTGTGCATTTTGGCGGCTTCAGTGTCCTGGTGCTGCGTTGGCAGGCTCGGGTGTTTGTCTGGTAGCTGAGCTGCTGGCTTGCAAATGTGAAGTGCTGGGTGTTGTGTGTCCGCTTTGTGACTCGCGCGTCCACTCCCACAGGGTGGCTGAAGTCAGTGCGCCCTTATGCTGCCTGTGCCAGGACCCAGCTGTGGTAAAGGAGCCCACTGATGCTATGCCTGCTTCAGCGCCCTGTGTGTCCATGTGTGAGAGTGTGTGTGTCTCCAAGGGGGTATGTGGCAGATTGTGAGTTTGGGCTTCTCAGCCCTGGGCCTCGCAGCTGGGAGCGTTTACAGCCGGTTATAAAGAGTTTGTTTGAAGCTCCGCTCAGCCTGGCCAGGAATTTCCTCAATTTCAGCAATTTGGGCTTTAAAAGGAAAAAAACCCAGAGCCCATCCCCTCCTCCCCAGCAGGGGCCCCAGCCTAACCCAGGAGCAGCATCTTGATGGTGGGGGCTCCACTCGCCACGAAGGGGATCTGTACCCAGTCGGCCCACTTCACTCTCCCTTGCCCTTCACCCACTGGGCTGTACTTCAGGGTTCAGAGGATGGAGGTGTGCCAGAGGGATGCGGAGAAGAAGTGACAGTGCCACACAGATGGGAAAAGCTGCCCCGGGCCTGTCTCCCTTCAGCCCCTAGTCTTAGAATTGGCTGGCACTGCTCCATGCCAGTCTGACCACACCCAGGCCCTTTCACAAGAGAGGAAATGAGGCAGCGCTCTGTGGGCTGGGAGCAGTCAGCACCACCCCACACAGTGGCCTGTGGCAGCACTGCTGCCCTCAGAGGACAGCGAGAGGAGCCCTGAAAGGCATTCCAGCCCATCCCACATCTCTCAGCCCCAGGCCCTCCTGGAGTCTCCTGTCCCCCACCCCACCCCCGACCCATCTGAATAGACTCCAGGCACCCTCTTTCCTCCCTCCTCTCTCTCCTTTTCTTTGGGGACTCTCCCTCTAGCAGGATTCTTATGTTAATTGAGTGCCTGTGTGTTGGGGGGCGGATGGGCTTCCCTCCTGCGGGGTGGGTAGAGAGGACCCAGACCAGCATCCTGGGCATTCCTTTTGCCCTCCTGGGCCATGGGGTGGACTTCTGACCAGGTGGGCTGCCGCAGGTTAGAAGAAGGAAGGTGCTCATGAGGTGGGTGCATGGGGTACTTCTTAGGGAGGGTATTGGGGGGGGTTGCATTGCCTAGGCCCTCCAGCTTTGGGCAACAGGTCCTACAAGTTGAATAATTTATAGATTTTTCCATCCTCTGAACATCAACTACACACCCTAAAAAGGTTTACTTAGCAGCCAGCTGAACAGAGGGCCTTGTCCCCACACATGCTGTGTGGCGTGGGCTGAGACCCCTTTTGAGCTGCAATTGGTTATTTGTGTCGAAGTTTAGGAGTGAAGACAGAGGCTCAGAGGGGATCCAGAGATAGCTCCCCTCCCCCATCAGCCCTGTTTACTTAGTGTCACCTGACTTCTTTGGTTTGCTACACCCCCAACAGTTTCTAGACCTGAGAATCTGAGTAAATACCTCAGTCTCTCCTTTCCAGCTTCTGGGACTCTCGGCCAGGCCACTCAGAGCCAGTCAGAGGACCTGAGAGTCTGGGCTCCGCTGTCAAGTGGCAGTGGGGCACTGGGCTGGTCACTTCCCTCTGTTGGCCTCAGGTGTAAAATCAGGTTGTTGCATAGTCTTTAACCTACTTTTCTGATACCTGTGTCCCATTTGCTGCACCGTCTTGGTGGTTTCTGGGGAAAAGGGCGGTGGTGGTTATTTGGCAGGCAGTATGAGAGGAGGAAAGCTTGAGGATTGATTATCTACCCTCTGCTACTTGAAAGGAAATGAAGTCCTGTTCTACCTCCTGAGTATCCTAGCAGGTTATTTAGCCAGGTGCTAGCTGCAGGTGGCTTGTAATTGCCCGTCACCTCCATATCTATTGCTTCATAAGGAGGAGGATGGTGAGAGGGCCTGACAAGGATCAACTGATGTGACAGGGAGTGACCAGAGAGTTCAGAGCCATGGGCCATAACCCCTCTACCTACACACTTTATAGCTGAGGAAACCAAGGCCCAGAGAAGTTAACTTCCAGGATGGCCTTGACCTGGAATTTGGAGACTTGAACAGTGTCCCGTGAGCCTCTGACTGGCATTATTGTGGGGGGAGGTAGCCAGACCGAGGGAAGTGTGGTGGGTGTTGGGGGTTTCTGGAAGTGTTTACTATGGTATGGGGCTGCACACAGTTGATGGGACTTAAAATCACTGTGTGGTGACGATGTTGCCACTGCCGAGCCGGAGGAAGTGGGAATGGGTGTGTGTGTATGATGAGGACACCGGGAGAACTGAGGGGTTCTTCTCCCCCAACCCTCATCTCACACTGCTTCCCCCCCAGCGGTGGAGACACAGAGCACTAGCTCTGAGGAGATGGTGCCCAGCTCACCCTCACCCCCTCCACCTCCTCGGGTCTACAAGCCATGCTTCGTGTGCAATGACAAGTCCTCTGGCTACCACTATGGGGTCAGCTCTTGTGAAGGCTGCAAGGTTTGTACGTGGTGGGGGGCGGGGGGGATGCATTTGGGCATCTGGAGTCACCTGATGAGATCAGAGACCAGGGCCCAGAGCAGAGGGGTGAGGCAGAAGTCATGTGTGAGTAGGCAGCCCTCTCTGAGGTGGGAGGGGTTAATAGGTTGGGTGAGGCCTGGGGCCACCTACAAGGCCTATGAGAAGCTAGTGCTCCCAGTATCCTGCTTCACTGACACTCTCCCCACCCCCTACTGCAGGGCTTCTTCCGACGCAGCATACAGAAGAACATGGTGTACACATGTCACCGAGACAAAAACTGTATCATCAATAAGGTGACCCGGAATCGCTGCCAGTACTGTCGGCTACAGAAGTGCTTTGAAGTGGGCATGTCCAAGGAAGGTAGGCCCTGAGCCCTGGCCTGGGCAAGAGCACTCCTGACCTAGCCTGTATTTGCTACCCTTTTTCTCCTTCTCTGACCTCTGAGATCTGGCTTGTACTGGGGTGTTGCCTCCTTCCTAGACAGTCCTATTTGATTAGCTGCATTCACCAGGGAAGCTCGGCCCATTTTCCTGTCTCAGAGCTTAATTAACCCTTAAGTAAATGGGGGTTATCGTCTCACATTCCCCTGTTTCATGGAGAAGTGAGGGGGGCTTTCCAGTCCCCTCCCCTGCTCCCAGGACTGAACCTGAGGTAGATCTGGGGTGCCCCCCTCCCCTGCGCCATTGTGCTGCCAAGGCTATAAGTAGATATCCTGCCGCTTGCATATCCTGCCCCCCACCCCCCCCTCAGCTCCTGCAGGGTGACAGGAAGGGCAGGATGGAGCTGAATGGCCTGGGGAGGGAGCAGGGGCTGTCGGCCCTGGGTGGGGCTGGGAAGAACCAGCTTGGAAATGGGAGCTAGAGTAGGAGATGGGGAAACTGAGGCACTGATTAGGGTTCCAGGGTGAATAGATGTTCATGATAAGGATGAAGCACATTAAATCAGGGTGAGAGGGTATATCCAGAGGGAGGTTCTGAGGGTCCTGACCCTCTCCTTGCACCTCCACCCCCAAGCTGTGCGGAATGACCGGAACAAGAAAAAGAAAGAGGTGAAGGAAGAAGGGTCACCTGACAGCTATGAGCTGAGCCCCCAGTTAGAAGAGCTCATCACCAAGGTCAGCAAAGCCCATCAGGAGACCTTCCCCTCGCTCTGCCAGCTGGGCAAATACACCACGGTGAGGAGTAGGCAGGGCCTCAGTGAGGGCAGGGGATTGTTCACCTTGGGGAATGGGGAGGGGCTGTGTTGTAGACCATGGTCTGATGCTGAGGACAAGAATGGCATCAGAATGCAGAGGGGAGAGCTTGGGGTGATGGCAGAAAGGAGACAGCTTGCAGAGCGGGTCTTAGCTTGCATTCTCATCTGCCCTCCCTGCAGAACTCCAGTGCGGACCACCGGGTGCAGTTGGATCTGGGGCTGTGGGACAAGTTCAGTGAACTGGCCACCAAGTGCATCATCAAGATTGTGGAATTTGCCAAGCGGCTACCCGGCTTTACAGGGCTCAGCATTGCTGACCAAATCACTCTGCTCAAGGCTGCCTGCCTGGACATCCTGGTAAGTTACTAACCCCATGGCCTGTCTTCCGCCACAGCCTGACTCTTATAGGAAACCAAGGAATAGGTCCACACAAAGATTTTATTTCTCTTCCCCCCTCCAATCTGGGACTCCCCAGATCTCCTTTAAATTCCAGCCTTTTTTTGTCTTACCCCTTGACCCTAAGACCTGATCCTAGACTTCTGGAATCTCTCCCTCCTTCTGACTTCTCTTTCCTCCCTGAGCTCCTGACCCCACACCCCTCTCTGCCTTCCTCCCCAGGCTGCTTCAGATCGCCCTCCTCTTGGACCTAACTTTCTCACTCTGCACACATGCACCTCATCCCTTCTCTGCCTCAGCCCCAGATGTGCCCCTCTCCAGAGACAGCATTAACCCTCCCCTCCCCTACCACTAGATGCTTCGGATCTGCACCAGGTACACCCCAGAGCAGGACACCATGACCTTCTCCGATGGGCTGACCCTGAACCGGACTCAGATGCACAATGCTGGTTTTGGACCCCTCACAGACCTTGTCTTTGCCTTTGCTGGGCAGCTCCTGCCGCTGGAGATGGATGACACTGAGACGGGGCTGCTCAGTGCCATCTGCCTCATCTGTGGAGGTATGGGTGCGCCCCCTGGTGTTTTCTCAGGTTCCTTTCCTGCCATGCCTCCTAACTGATCCTCACTGGTGGGGAGGGGGGCTGTGGGCAAATCCCCTTACTCTGTGTGCCTTGTTCTCCTGTTTGTAAACTGAGCTATCTGTGTCCCTGCCTCCCAAGTTGCTGTGAGGTCTAAATGATCTTTGTCCCTGCCCTTGGGATTATTGTACTTGACCCCATCCACAGACTCCTTAGATCCAGTGTAAGCTCCCTGATGCTTGGAATATGAGACAAAAGGGGGCAGAGCCAGGGGGAGCTGGGGAGACCCCAGATACTGGCACTGAGATAGGGTTCGGGCAGGAATGACTTATCAGAGCAAGCCTCTTAAGGGGAGAAGGTACAGGGCCTGGGCAGGGGAGATGGCCTGGGCGGGGTTCAAGGATAATAGCTGAAGGGCTGATGGGACAGAGTTTGTCAGCTGGAGGCCCATAAGGCAGGCCATTTGGGAAACAGCCGCATGTCACTGTCCTCCCCACCTCTTCCTTTCTCCACTGTTCTTGTTCTCACAGACCGCATGGATCTGGAGGAACCTGAAAAAGTGGACAAACTACAGGAGCCACTGCTAGAAGCCCTGAGGCTATATGCCCGGCGGCGGCGGCCCAGCCAGCCTTACATGTTCCCGAGGATGCTCATGAAGATCACCGACCTCCGGGGCATCAGCACCAAGGGTTAGTCACGACTGAACCTCCCTTCTCTCTTCCTTAGAGGTGCCGGTCGTCCAGGTCACTCAGGTGGACAGGTAGAGACAAGAGCAGAATGGGTGAGAGCCAGGGAGCCTCCAGTGGAATGTAGGTCTGCCACTTACTGGTGGGGAGGGGGACTGTGGGCAAATCCCCTTACTCTGTGTGCCTTGTTCTCCTGTTTGTAAACTGAGCTATCTACGTCCCTGCCTCCCAAGTTGCTGTGAGGTCTAAATGAGTTAACACACAATGGGCCTCGAACTACCCTGAATGAAAAAGTTCCTCAGTGTCTACACCTGCTATTCCGGACAGAGTAGATATTTCTGTCACTGCTGAAAGTTCTTTTGGACAGTGCTGGTTTAGAATGATGCCTGGCAGATAGTTAGTGTTGGCTAAATAGGTATTATTATAAGTGTTATTAAAAGCAGGTATGTATTAGAGGATGGGATCCCTGGGGAGTGGGGCTGGGTGTTGGGCACAGTGTGATCTTTGAGAAGGACAGACTGAAAGAATGGGATGAGTGGGCAGCAGCCTGGCAGAGAGGACAGACAGAGGCTCCAGGCAAAGAAGTGTCCCCCAGGAGCCCTGAATTAGGGGGAGGGTTAGTTGGGACAGAGAGGTGGTAGGCCTGTGCTGGGAGCCCCCAGAGGGGAGTCGTAGGGCAGTTAAGAAAGGTTATGGTGGTGGCCTCATGGGGCGTGCACCCTTGCCCCCTAAAACTCTTCACCCTTTTATTGTAGGAGCAGAAAGGGCCATCACCCTGAAAATGGAGATTCCAGGCCCGATGCCTCCCCTGATTCGAGAGATGCTGGAGAATCCTGAAATGTTTGAAGATGACTCACTGCAGACTGGTCCCCACCCTAAGGCCTCTAGCAAGGATGATGTTCCAGGGGGCCAGGGCAAAGGGGGCCGTAACCCCCAGCCCGACCAGGGCCCCTGACTTCCCCACCATGGGGGTTGGGGCTCCAGGCAGCAAACTGACCATCTCCCAGACACTGCCAGTGGTGACTGAGAAGGACCTGCTCTGCCCAACCCTTCCAATGAGCTCCTTGTTTTTGCCAAAGTTTCCAGGGGTGCCTCTGTGTTCATCCCCTTCCTGCTCTAACTGGTTGGTTCCCTTTCCAGTCTTGGGGGTCTGCCTTACTCCCTCTAGGAGAGAGGACAGAGGGGCGAGCCTGGGTTTGGACTTTAAAATCTCAGCACTGCCCCTCAGACTCCAGGGTCCCAGGCTCCCCAGGGCAGGAGGAAGACCCTGCCATTCCACAGCCCCTTCCTCAACCAGGTGCTTAGGCTTCTGGAAGCAAACAGGAACACTAGAGACCAAAAGGAGGGTACAGTGGGAGGGCTGAGCCCACCCTCTAGCCCCTGCCCTTGATGCCTAATGCTGCGTAGTGCACCTGCCTGGTGCATGCTACCCTCTGTGCCCCATCCTGTACAGGTCAGGGTGGGGGCAGGCTGGGCCCTGCATTTCTGTGGGGGACCAGAGGGTGAAAGCCACAGATGCAGGCCCATTCTGCACCTCTTTGCTTGGGCCCCAGAGTTTACCTTGTGTTTACTTTGTGCCCTCCATTATAAAGTCCTTCCCAACCCTGTCACGTGCCTTGGGCTTCCCCTGCCCCCCATCTCAGCCACAGGGCAGGGACCCTCCTACACTACAGAGGGACCAGGGGACCCCTCTCCCCCTAGTGCCTTTTCCCCTGACCCACCAGAGCAGCTTGGCCCAGGGAGAGTGGGGGTGGGGTGCTGCTTAGCTGATCCTGCCCTGACCCAGAGGAAGCCTCTATTTATTTATTAGCTTTTGTTTACACCCTGGAATTGACCCCTTCCTCTAGGGGTCTTGGGAGGGGAAGCCCAGGGCCCCTGTGACCCCTCCTTTGTTCCTCCAATTCCCAGTTTGTATTTAGCTGCCAAATAAGATTCCCACTGGCTCCCCTTTTTCTCTGGGGGGTCAGGGTGCTGTCCCCTCCCCTCTGTTTACATCTCCCCTCCACCCCCGCTGTATCGCATATTGCTGAGTTTTCTATTTTTGCAAAATAAAGTGATGGAAACTCATGAGATGTGGCTCCCTTGAGGAGGTGGCAGTGGGGGAAAGAGCCAGCTGGCCTGAAGAGGGACCCGGTGAAGAGGGTGAATCCCAATCCACCGGATTTTTCAGCTTTCTCAGGGGAACTGGGAAAATGGTGTAAGGTGCCCAGGTGGAAGGTAGTGGGGGAGACAGACAGCCTACAGAGCTTACCTTGAGTGTCTGGACCACCTGTGGCCACCAGTGTGGGCTCTTGGCTCTGACCCCATAGACCTCTGAGGAGGCAGAGATGAGCCTCAAAGGTCTTTAAGCTGTCCCCACCCACAATTACGTCTGCCCTCAAGGGAGGGGGTTCACTGGAGTTTCATTTAGTTCTGAATGTCTCTGGTCCCAGAAGAGAAGACCCACAGCCTGCATCTAAGTTATGGTGTTTGTTTTACACCAACCCCTCACTCCATGAGCTCTCCCACCCTTTATAACTCCACTCTTTAGAGTCAGTCCCTCTGTCCCATCTGACCCCACCCTTCACCCCATGACCTCCACTCAGCTTTCATGACACCAGGGTTATCTTCTGTCCCAATCTCTCTCTCTCCCTGCCCCTGTGTGCCCCACTGCCTTTGGCCTCCACCACCGAGCCCCTGAACTCCCTCACCGTCACTCTCCTGCCCTGCCCCACTGTGGTCCACTTCTTCCCTGGGCCGGGGCCTTGCCTACCTTGTTCCTGGCTTTCTTCACTGATGACCTGTGCATATGGGAGAGGGGTCGAGGATGTGGAAGAAGGGGAGGAGAGAAGAGTGGGGGAAAGCAGAAGAAGAAAGCGAAAGAAACTCTAGAGGAAACCACAGGGCCTATGGGGTGGGGGGCCGTCACTGCCATGACAATTTCTGGTTGTGGGGGAAGGGTGCACTGTACCACAGCCTGAGGCCAGTTCTCCCAAGTCCCCCCCCCCCCCAGCAGCTGCACTTCTACATGCCACCTGCCATTTACCAAGCCTCCCTATGAGGTGGGCACTTTGCTGGGTGCTGGGGCTTCAGTTAGTCCAGCCTTGAAGGAGTGCTCCTTCTGATAAAGGAGACAAACCTGTGAACACAGACCTCTTGCCCAGTTCCTTCTCAAAGCTCCCTCTGGTCAAATGTGGGCAGGGGAGAATATTTTCCACAGCCCCGTCTCACAGGCTTCCTCCTCGCCCCGGCTCCAGCCCCAACTGCCATGCCATACTTCCTGCTTCTCTGAGGTGGCTTCACCCCTTTCCCAGGCTCCCATAGTGTCCTGCCTCCTTGGCCCAGTTTCATTGTCTCAGTCTGGCCTTGTGCCTCTCTCTCGACTTCCCAGCTGTCTGGACCTTGAATTTCTCAAAGCCCCTCCACTTTTCACCCCATCACTTCTCATTCAATGATTCTCTCATCAAGCCCCCAGTGGGTTCCAGGTTCTCTTCTAAGCAATTGATATGAATTACCTCATTCATTCTCAACAATCTTATGAGTTCCACTTGAGAGATGAGAAAACAGCCACAGGAAGGGCAAATAACTTCTCTAAGGCAAGTGTTACAGAGGCAGGATTTGAACTGGGGTCATTTGGCCCTAGAGCCTGTATTGTTAAGCACCCACTATGGTACAGTGGGCACTGGGTTTTCAGAATGAACAATAATCACTAATTCCCCCTCTCTGCAGTACTTACTGCCTCCATATTTCTTCCTTCCTATCATCTTCCTATATAACGAAGTGGAGAGATCATCATGAAGGACAGGGAGGCAGGAAGACCTGGATTTGAATCCCAGACCAGCCAGTTACTAGTGATGTGACCTTAGGCAGTTTTTATTTCTCACCTCTAAGCCTCTATGTCTGTAAAACTAGGGGGACTGGAGAAATAGTAACACCTATGTCCTGAGGTTCCCTTGAAGATTCATAATAATATTGTGATATACGCAGCACCGATCAGGTGCTCAACAGATGACCTTCCAGATCCCTGCATCATCAACTCCCTTGTCCCAGTTCTACCCCTATCTGCTCTACTTTCTAGATCAGTCACCCCCACCATCCCCAAGTTCCCCCCCACCCCAGCGGGCGTGTCACTTCCTCCTCTGCAGCCTCCCAGATCAGTACACAAAGGCTGCTGCTGCGGAGAGCGGACAGGCTGCCCTGCTCCCACCTGTGAGTACCAGGGCACCAGCCCTCCTGCCTCTCCTTACTAGTCCAGGCCTCAGCTGGTTCCAACCTCCTGGGGAGAGGGCTCTGACCCCAAGACACTCAGGATTCAGCCGAAACTGGAGAAATGCTCTGAACTCCATTCTGCATTCCTAGTTCCCCTGTCTTGTTCCCTCCTCCAGTTTCACAAGCTCTCCTCTCCACCTACTTCTGTTGCATCAGTTTCCTGAGAACGGGGCTGGAGGGAGGAAAAGGAGGCAGGGGAATGTATGAGTGCTATCATCTGAACGCCTGCCTCGTGTGGAGGACTGTGTCAAGGTATTCCCCAGGGTTACTCCCCAGCCATCCTTGCTGCTTAAGGAGCTCAGAGTGGGGGTCAAGGACACTCCCGGGCGACTGTAGCTCAGTGGCTCAGCTGTCTTTCCTCCTGATGACTCCAAGTGGGCAGCAGAGGACTCTTAGACTTGGGAAGGTCTGGATGGATTAGGAAGCAGCTCTGTTTCTCCGCTGCTGAGGGAATAGCAGGGTGTGTACTGAAGTCAGAACCGAGTCCAGGAATGGGACATCCATGACGGGGAGGAGGGAGGCTAAAGAAGACCTCCCCCAAGAAAAGAGAAAGGGATTAGGTAGGGGCTACTTGGGGAGAGGGCGCTACTCTCAAAGATGATGGCACATGGGTTGGGGGGAAGGAAAGCAGCCCACCAAGCGTGCGGCCTGACCGGTCTCCGTCCCTGCTCTGCCTCCAGTGCACTGTGTGACTCTGAGCAAGTCACTTACCACTCTGGGAATTCAAGTTTCTGTTTGTAGAAAGGGGGAGTTGAAGTAGAAGATTCTGCCATTCTGTAGTTAGGATGGAGAGAAAAAGAAGCAAAATAGAACTGTGACAGAAAGTGCACAAGAAAAAAGCAGCGGATTAAGAGAAGTGGCAGGTTATGTATCCACAAGGAGGAGAGATGAGGTGGGGAATTAGGAGAAGAGGGTTGGAGAGGACTCTCCAAGGGGCCTCAGGGCTCCCTTTAGAGAAGAGGAGTGGGGCCTGAGGTTCCTTGGTTTGTCCTATCTGGGGAACCAGTGTACTATGGGGGCCCCACCTGTGAGAGATGAGTCAAAAGTGGGCTTTGTGCTACAGCATCTCCAACCTCCCTGACCACAGGCCTGCAGAGCAAGCAAGGCTGAGGTTACACTGAGGCTGAGCCCTTGGCTGGCTTCTCACGGGAGGGGGGAGCCTCTGTTGTACATACATTCTACACCTGAGGTCACAGGTGCTGGGGAGCAGGACAGGGTGGCCACCGAGTTGGCAACCCACCCCTTCTCCACACTCCACGCAGAGTATCGGGAATGAAGACTAGGTCCAGGCAAGGAGGCAGATGCCTCGGGGCAAAGAGCTAGCTGGCCCTTTTCATACACCACTGATGGGGATGTAAACTGGCACAGCCCCTGAGGAGGTTATGTTGGCAATACTCAGCATTGTTACGAATGGTACCTATTTATTGACTTTACAAATCCTCTCCTGGGAGTTTATCCTACAGATTCACTTGCACACACGTGAAATAATAAATATAAGAGTTTTTACTGCAGCATTATTTACACTAGTGAACAATTAGAAACAATTTATATCCCAATCATGAGACTACAATACAATATATTCATGCAATGGAAAACTATATGGCTGTAAAAATGAATCAGGGAGTTTTTTTCTTTTCTTGGGTAGCAGGATCTCTAGGAAAAGTAGTTAAAAAAAGGTAAGATGCAAAACTGTGTAAAGTGTTCTACCATTTGTAGAATTCTATCATTTGATTCTTCCATTTAAAGAGTATATATATATACATATATATATATATATATATATATATATTCACATTAGTTTGTATATGTATAAAACAATTCTCTAGAAAGACCAGAAGCAACAAAATATAAATAAACTATGGTTCTTTATTTGAAAACAGGTGGGTAAAGGCCAGGACTGGGAGACTTCTATCTTATCTACTTTTCATTTTTTTATTATGGTAAAATACACATAAAATTGGTCATTTTAAGCATTTTAAGTGTACAATTCAGTGGCATTAAGCTCCCAAGGCTGTGCAACCACACACGACCCAGTTTCAGACCTTTGTCTTTATTCCAAAGTGAAACGCACTGAGCAGTTTCTCCCTCTCCTTCCCTCCCCCCCACACGTGCGAACCACTAGACTATTTTCTGTCTCTGTGAGTTTGTCTAGACAGGCTATTTCATGTAAATGGACCCATACAATATGTGGTCATTGTGAATGGTTTCATCCACTCAGCATAACGTTTTCAAGGTTCATTGATATTGCAGTATGTGTCAATATTTCATTTCTTTTTATGGCCAAATAATATTTCATTATATGAATATACCACGTTTTGTTTATCCATTAATCAGTTGATGGAAATTGGGTTGTTTCTACCTTTTAGCTATCAACATCCATGTACAGGTTTTTGTTTGAAAACCTCTCTTCAATAATTTTTTTAAAAGATCTTTAGAGAGAGGGGAAGGGAAAGAGAAAGAGAGAGAAACATCAATGTGTGGTTGCCTCTCATGCATCCCCAACTGGGGACCTAGTCCACAATCCAGGCATGTGCCCTGACTGGGAATTGAACCAGAGACTCTTTGGTTCACAAGCCAGCACTCAACCCACTGAGCTACACCAGCCAGGGCTGTTTTTGATTATTTTAGGAATATACCTAGGAATGAAATAATCAGGTCATAGGTTAATTCTATGTTTTAACTTATGAATCACTGAACTGTTTTCCACAGTGATTGTACCATTTTACACTCCAACCAGCAACAATAAAGGTCCCATTTTCTCTACACCCTCAACAATTATTTTCTATTTTTTTTATTATAACCATCCA